ACCCAAACTCAAACTCCCAAACGGTCTGAATTCGAGTTTGGGTTTGGCTTCTGTCTATCTTCGATCATGCATTTACTACTTTTCGCAATGCTCATGATACAATTTTTACTTACCCTTGTTGTTAATAATGATAAAATAGCGACACCAGGTTGTATAGTAGCTAAATCAGTATTGTTCTGTAGATTATGCATAACTAATGTTGCCAGTAAATAAAATTTAAAATGTGGTTCATGTAAAATTCTATCACTGCATAATGTTAATAGACAATTTTTTTGTAACTATAGTGAAAATTATTATGAAGAAAAATAGAAATTAGAGAATAAAATCTAATACTTGTTGATGATTTGGAAATGTTTCCATAACATTCATTATTGCTTGAACAATTTGTGCCAAATATTTTACATGTATTTGATCTGTTATAGGTGAACGTGTTAAATTATATATACATGCTGTTGATGCCATTTGCACTGATTGTATATTTGGATGTATTGACATAATATGAAGTGTAAGTTCAATGAGAAGATTTTGTTGTTTTGAATGAAATGAACGTGTAAGAAAAAAAATATTATAAAGAATTTTTTGTATAAAACCAACACGTTCACGATAACGTTTTAATGCTTCGATAAGATAAGGTTCATATACTATTAAATCATTTTCTGTTAATGTTACTGTTGATATATGATGATAATCATATGTATAATGACGATATTTTGAATAACATCGATCATTTAAATCAAATATACATGAAGAATATTTTTCATTTGTTAGAAATAATCCAAGAAATTGTAAATTTAAATGATTTAATAAAAATTTATGTAATGCTATTGATGATATTGTTTTTTGTCCACTTACATCGAAATGTTTTAAACGTGGTAAACAATTAATTTGACATAAAAATTTATTTATATCATTTTCATTATCAATTATAGGATTATTATTATTATTATTATTGTCATTATCATTTATTGTACTATCATTACTTATATCTAAATATTCAAGATATTTTAATTGATATAATATATGATAAATAGTTGGATTTTGTTGCATATTAAAACAACAATTATATAAATTAAGCCATTTTAATTTTAATGATAATTTTAATAATGAATGAAAGAATTTTATTGAACGACATGATGATAAATCAAATGTATCTAAGTTTTCTAATGAATTTATAATTATATCAAAACATGGATTCTTAATATCTGTTCCACTTAAATTTAACGATGTTAAATTAGTAAATTTTAATAATAAACGAAGATTCATTGGAATTGAATTTATTGCAGGTGTTGTCATTGTTGAAGATGAAGTTGTCGTACTAAATAAAATTATAGATTAGTATGAGGAGATTATATACTCAAAATTCTCGCTATGTAGAACTTTCATCGTAAACGAGTATCTCTTTGTCATCTACGCAAATATACGATCAAGGTCGTTTTTCAATATTTTTCTATAAGGTATGAATATTTTATATATATTCATCATTATGAAAAAGTAATATTTTTGGTCAAGGAGAAAACGGCAGATTGCAGGACTCCATGGACTCTACGGGACTCCAAGGACTTTACGGGACTCTGAAATTCAAGACTCCAAAAAACCCAAAGAATTCTAAAGGACTCGGGAGTCTAGGATTCTGAAGAACTTCAAAAATTGCTCCAGGAAACTCTCATCTGCCGTTTCCCTTCTGTTGTTAGTACTTTATGAAGAATGAAAATTGTTAACATGATCGTAATCTTATTAGATTTCATTTAACAATAGAGATCCAGTTTAGAAAATTTCACATTAATTGAAGAGGTTCTTGATAAGATAAAGAGTTTATATGAACTATTGTCGCGAACTATATATTTGCGTTTCAAAATGCATCGATTTGTGCCGTAACGTTAGTTTATCGATTAACGGGGCAAAAAAATGCAAATATGTGGGCTCCAGAATTTTGCCAATTGACAAAAGGTCATTGTACTTTCGTCAATACATTTTCGGGCTTTCACCATTGGCAAACGTTCCGCCACCCAAATATGTTCCTTTAGCAAGAAAAACAATAAGCTTAACTTTTTCCTTTATCTCCTTCTGTCACTGACATATTAGATTACTAATATTATTCTGAAAATTTGATCTCCACATATACGTCTTCAGTTAAAACAATAGATAATTGTTTGTCTTACCATTTTGTTAATGGTGACATATCAGCAAGTGAATATTTTCTTGAAGCAGTTGATTGAGAAGCAGCAAAAAATTTATAATGCGAAAGACTTAAGATTTTCAATCTTTCAATTGTTGTTGGATGTAAATTACTAAAAATTTCACTTAATAATTTATGATGTAAAAATTCATCTGATGAATTTGGTAAATTTTGTAATAAATTAGTTTTACTAGATACAGATGATCGTCTTGATTCATTTTGTAATTTTGAATTTATATAATTTAATATAAATGGACTATATATAGTAAATATTTCATCAAATTCTGAATATATCGAAGGACATATATGTTGATAAAATATTTCATTTGTCATATTATTTGTTCGATTTAAATTTGAATCCTTAAAAATAAGTTCTAATTCAATTAAATTTGGATGTTGATTAAGTATATGACATTGTAATCGACTTAAATATTTTATATTAATTACTAATCGTTTTAAACATGTTACATTTGATGAAAAAAGTGTTAAAGTAAAATCATTCAATTGATCATGTGCTACTAAATAATTAGCAAGCTGTTCAGATAATATTGAATTTAATGGACAATAACCATGAAGAAAATATTCAATAAAAAAATTTTGATTATGATGTAAACAATGTATTGTTTCCATATTTGATTCATTATCATCATCATCATCATCATCTATTCGAAATGATTCACCACGACGATGTTTACGTTTTTGTTGATCATTTAGATTTAATATAGATTGATTATTTTCTTCGCAATAAATTTTAACAACTCGTTCTTCAATATATTTTTTCCATAATAATTGATCAGATTTTAATAACGATGAAATTTTACGTAAACAAATTAAATTTAATCGATTTGGATTGTCAACCATTGGAAAAATTGATGTACTTCTTTTTCTCTTGGATCTATTATTTTGGGACATGGATAAGTAAAGGGAATGCCAAGGGGCAAAACATAAAACGACGTTTTTTTCAATGAATTACTTCATTGAAAATTTATATCTTAAAAGAAACAAAATATGTATATACGTAAGGACTAACAAGATCACTCAAGATAAAAAAAAAGAAAACAAAGAAAGAATATTTTTGACTGTTATATAAACGTCACTTCAAACTAGAGAATAAAATATAATAAATCAAATTAAACCTGTATGAATAAGAGAAAACAGATAACAGAAAAAAATTAACTAATGACTATGATTATGACCATGATCATGACTGTGACCATGTCCACTAGTATCAAAATCATGTGAATGTCCATGATTATTCGGATTGTATTGTGGTGCAGGAAAAGTATTTAATGCATTAGGATTGTATTGTGATGGTGGAAAAGTATTTAATGCATTTGGATTAAATTGTATTGGTGCTTGTACTTGTGAGTGTACGTGTTGAGAGTTCGTAAATGGAGAAGGAAGAATAGGTTGAAAATAATGTTGTTGCGGATTCGGTGCATTGAAATTGAATGGAGCTTGAATTGTTGATGATGATAATGATTGGTCGGTAGAGATTACATTCGTTGATTGTTGTTGTTGAGGAGCAGGAAAAGGAATATATGAAGGTTGAATATTGCTATAATTTGGTAACGAAATTGAAGAATTTGAAGGCACAGTAGTTGGTGTAATGTTTGATGATGGATTAAACGTTGTCTCACCAAAATATCTTCAACAAAGATAATAGAAAAATATGTGTTAACATAAATATCAAATGACATAAAAGAAGTACATGACTTTTTGAGGACAAAAAATAAAATACATCTCATTACACGTAGGTGGAGATTCATAAGATCAGAGTAATTCTATTTTTGTTTATTAAAATATTCGAACTTATTAAGAATATGACGGTCTTAGTATCGCGAACAATTTAATATAACTAAGATTAAAAGTGATAGGGTTCTCAGATTTTCGAAACATCTTGTATGTATCTATACGACAATAATCACTATTGTAAAGTATTCATCAATGCCTAGATCGAATAAATAGGCAGATGATTTTTCAAAATTACGTTTCTAATTCTGTCCGTAATCTAATTTCAATCATCACAATAATCGTAAATGTTCAAAAAGGATTAGTGGTCAATGAAGAAAGTTATTGCACTTTTTTGTAGTTTTACTGGAAACTGATTATAATCAAACGTCTATAGATTAAGTATTATGGAATAGCTCAACAATTAAATAATAGAAACTGCTAATTCCTATAAAAGCTTTTACTAATAAAAAGTATTTTATAGTAATTCTTCCATAATGGATAATCACTTACTCCAAAAAAATACTAGCACGAAATCAGCAAACTATTTTTCTTAACTTTATTACAGATTCAACTATTAGCAAGATTTCATATGGTATGTGCATTTGTACTGAGGGAATTGTTTCACTACTAAATTATCGAGGTTATGTCTTCGAGAAGAAAAGATAATCATTATTTATAAGTATACATGATGCACTTCTTTATGATTAACAAACAATAGTAAAAGAAAGAAAGGAAGAAAAGTTTTCCCCTCAAGCTATAGAAGAAGTCTCATATAAATATTTCATCTAACCTTGTAATTTACAATACTACTTTTCGCTTAATCAAAATCATAGAATTAACTTTGTAAAAATGTTATTGTAAGTTTTATATTCATACTTAGAATATTGATTGGAATCATTTGATACCATTGGTTGTGTTGTAGCATTTGTAGTTACTGTTGTTTCATTTGTTGCGGCAGTCGTTGTATTATTAGTATTAACCTGAGGTGGAACAAGTAAACTTGGCATTGTTACAGTTATTGGTGGCATATTAACCGGTTGAAGTGTAAAACTCATATGTGCACCTCCATTCATATTTGGTGGTGGTATCGATGAAAGTAATGGAGCTTTATCACCATTCGTCATCAATTGATTAGGTTTTGTTACTGGTGGTGAATTCGTTGTTCGAAATGGTATTCGATGTAAATAACCATAACCAATTCCACAACCTAAACTACCTTCACCGCCCCATCCAATATTTGGTGTAAGATTTATTTCACGTGTTGAATCATTATCACTATTATAAACATAAAGTTTTAATGGTTTGCCTTGATTCGATTCGATTAATGCATAGAAATCTTCTGAATCATTTAATAAAGTATCAGCTCCAATAATATAATCTGTATCGGAACGTAAACCTGCTAATGCAGCTGGTGAATGAAGTTGAACATCAAGTATATGCCATACATTTTCATTTGCCTTATCAAATGATGAGAAACGAATACTTAAACCAAGTAAACCCTATATGAAAATATTTTAAATGTCAATAAAAATAGAAATGTAATCTTATTATTTTTACTTGGCCACCCCAATTTTCATGTGGAACTAAAGGTAATTGTCGTACTGCTTGTGTTTTACTATTATAAACCTGTAATTCAACTGGTTTATTAATATTTGCTTTTAAGGTTTCTTTAAATTTTTCATCATCTGTATTAAGTCGAATACCATTAATACTAACAATAAAATCAAAATAAGGCTCTAAACCAGCTTTATGTCCTGGTGATCCTTCTTGAACACGAAGAACATGAAAACCTTCTGTACCACCACCTGGAACATTTAAACTACTACCACCAAGACCCATTTCAAGATCGTAATACTAAATTTGAAATTCAAGCTTCTTTTTTTTTTGAAAAGAAAAGAAAGAAAATTTCTTTTTGATAAATAATATAATAATAATAATAATCGCTGACGAGAATGACACATTGTTATATTTACCCAATGAAATTTTACAACGAAATTCTTTATTTTATTTTATTAAAAAATTGAAATATATTCGAAATTAAAACATCATAAGTAAACATCTATTATTATTATTTTATCAATATTTCTCAATGTTATATATCGTTCCAGTATTAGGCGACATCTATCATGAAAAAAACAAATTTAGTAAAAGATTAATATATTTACGCATGGGAAAAAAATATAGACTACAACGAAATACTCATGAATAGAAGTCTATGCTGTCCGTATATTGATTAACAATGATACTTAACCATTTTAAATAACAAGTAACGCTCGTCTAAGGACTCGCTCAGCTCTTTCTCGTAGAAATGGTGTTCTACAATGTTACTTGATCTTTTGCTTATATAACTTGCAAACGCTAACATCGAATTCGTGTTCCCCGACTTCAAAAACCACCTCGTCACGTTTTTTTATAAAAAAAACAATTTTTGTAAAAAAATGGTCCTTTGTCTAAAACAATTTTTTTTAAAGAATTGTGAAAAACTAACACCAGATTTGAAGTCCCTGCATCGAAGTACCTTTAGAAATGTCTTTTTCGAAAAATTGGTCTTCGATGTTTTTTTGACCCTGCGGACATACAAGCAAACAATTTATTCTTACTGGACTCTTCTCTACGAGAAAGAGATTTAAAGCAAAGAATATTCGAAATAAAGATTCCAACAAAGTAATCTTCAGCATCAAATTTTTCGATAGTTATTTATGCAAATAACAGTGGCTATTGATCTTTCAAAATAACAACCATTAACATGAATCTCTTCGCCAGACAATTGTTGCTATTCTATATATGAAGTTTTTTTTGACCCTTAAATAGACATAATGAATCTAGACCTATAATTTCGGTTGTTATTAAATTATGTTGAACAAAAATGAACATAAAAACACATTTATTATTTTTTCTATCAAGAAAAGAAAAAAAGCACATGTGAGTAATTTTTTTTAAATACAACATTCATTAATAAAGATAAAATTCTGACTAGTACAACTACTGTACACGGTCACTGTCAATAGAATTCATCATTTTTAATTATACACAACCGAATAATAATATACTTCGTGCTTTTATAAAATAATTATTCATTGTATTAATAGAATGATTTTGTTGTTGTTGTTGTTCAAGTTTAACTACAGCAAAATGACTTTGTTGCATTGAATCATTTGTATCACCAAGTTCAAGATCACCTGATAGTATATAACCATCTGATACATCATCAGCAGTTATTTGTGATGATAGAACCAAACGAAAGACTGCATCTGTATGTCGTTGAAATTGTCCAGTTATCTCCAAACGACCATTACCCAAACATTTCATATGACCTCTAGAAAAAAAATATATTTATATATAATATTAATTGAAATTAAGCTCCATTCATTATATAATATTTTAGACAAAGACGTCCTTTTAATAAGTTGAGATATCCTGTAATCTGAAATATAGTATTGAGTTCATAACGTTGGTCAGTCTTATTACGCTCCCGCATAGTCTATTCTAATCTGATCTGTCTCGACTTCTTTATGGTATAAGACTCATTAAAAGTACTCGATCACAGTATGTTAATGTTTCTTTCGGTTGTTCGTCCGTCTATTACATCTTCATTAATGATTCGGCTATTGAAAGATAAAAGTTGACCATCACTCCCATTTCCTTTTCTTTTCTTGGTACTCATAAGAATTTACATTCGGCGAGACGAATTGAATTAGCCTATCAACCAGAAAATGTCCTTATGCGCATTTTTAATTTGATTATTTGACGACGATACTAACAAAAAAATTTATTCAATGGCTGACCATTTTGCAATCTTCTTTTTTTTCTCGCTAGATAAAAATTCTATCTGGATCAGCCACTTGTTATGATGTATACACATACATATATTTATGAGATAAATAAACTGGTTTCACTCAATCTCTTTCAAGTTTCATTGAGAATAATGGAACTTTTCATGATATGAAAATTATCGATGAATAGGAAGATTTATTGTATTATCACATTGATTCGTCTGCATTTATTACAGATGCGGAACGTATTAATCTACTTTTGTTATTTACATCTAACACAGTATGCATTGAGAATTTTTCCGCACAACATACTTTTATTCTAAGATGATATATAGATTCTTCTAGTAGGATTCT